CTTTAGCATCATCATCTCTGTTAATTTAGCTACCTGCTGATTAATCTCCCTGCCTCCATTCTTATCCACTTCCAATTCATTCTCATCACAGCACCCAGAAAGATCTTTCCAATCAATAGCTGCCTATGTTACTGACATGATAAGGACAGATCCTTTCATTCAAGGACTTTTTGATTAGCTGCCGCTATTTCCTCCAGCTTCAAATTTCATCACCTAAGTAGTGACTACAATTCCTGTCTTAAAAATATTATTATAAAACTAATACTAACTCATTGCTAGAAACTTGAAAAATTAAGAAATGAATAAAAGAGAAAAGAGTACACATGATCCTACCATTGTGATCATTTAATTTTTCCTTCCAATTTTTTTTAATGCAACATTTACATAGCTGTTATCAAACTGAATATGTATCTTTGTGTTTGTTTTGGTTGTTTTGTTTTTAATTTTAAAAAAGTATGGACAAATATATGTTTATTTTGTAAAAATATATAAGGTAGTATGTACCATCAGTGACTCATACCCTCAGCACTTTCCCTAACCCCCTTAATCTCATTGCCCTCTTTATGTCTATGTTTACTAATGGAAATGCATAAGTATTTTTATTTGATTTTTTTCCACAATAACATGATTTCACTAGCATTTTCTCATAACCTTAATAATTTTTATAAAATTCATTTCTGTGGTTCCATAATATTAATGATGATAGTAACAGCTACAGTGTGAGTAACTCTTATGGGCCTGGCGTGTAATTGCTAAGTTTCCACAAGAATCACTGTATGACTAGTAAAATATCTGTCAGTTGAAACACTGCTTTCCTTCTCCCATGGATACCTCAGTATACGGACATTCAAAATTTAATTGTTAACCAATCTTTCCCCCCATTTTTGGACATTTATGGTTTTTTATTGTTCACTCAAAAATAATGTAGTTACTATTTTTATATGTTTGTCTGTATCTGTATTTCTGATTATCTTTTAAGCATAGGTTACTATGAGTGAATTTTCTTTTTAAGGTTTTTGACACATTGCCAATTGCCTTCCTGAATGTTGTTATATGCCATTGAGTTAGACCCGACTCATAGCAACCCCTTCTTGGGTTTCCAAAGCAGTATCACTACAGAAGTAGATTGCCCAACCTTCCTTCTGAGAAGTGGCTGGTGGGTTTGAACTGCCAGCCTTCTGGTTAGCATTCAAGTGCCTTAGGCACTATGTATACTAATTTGTTGTTGTTGTTGTTGTTGTTGTTTGCCATCGAGTCGGCCCCGACTCATAGCGACCCCTACTTGGGTTTCCGAGGCAGTATCACTACGGAAGTAGGAATGCCCAACCTTCCTTCCGAGGAGTGTAGGAGTGATTAATTCTAATGGCAGGGAAAAGAGAGAAAGCAAGTAACATTTCATGGAAGAGGTGACATTTGATCTGGGTCCTGCCAGAGGAGAGGCAGAGTGACTGAACATTCCGGACAGGAAGGAAGTGGGGGCAAAGGAAAGGGGGGTCAGAAGAGCCTTTGCCCCAAGAGAGTCAGTCTGTTCCCTGGCACCTGCTTATTTGCTGTCAGAAATCATTGCATTATTTTATGGTTGGCAGGGAACAGAATCCGAATACACTCAAAGAGAAAGTTGAGATTCATTCTGACTTGTGGTTCTGCTCTTTCATATATTTAGAAATTCTCAAATGAAAGCTTTTTTTGAAGTTCTGAGACATTCATGTTGGTCTATTTCTGTTTTTATTTCCCCAAAGTGGGGGAAACATCCCTAGAGGATTCAGTAGAATTTGGAAACTCATCAGAACTCTCTTGTTCCAGGTTCTTCCCTGAATTCAAAGGGGCAAGAATATTTGACTTTTGTCCTAATAGACCAAAAGTTCCTTGGACAATTCACCACCAACAGTCCTAAATGCAATGAAGAGAATACCATCATTGTGTTGCATTTAACATGATTGATGTCCATTTGCTTGATAAAATGAATAAAACTAACTAAAATCTATTTTTAAACTTGGGATAAATGCCAGACACTGTTATTGTTGTTGTTATGTGCCATCAAGTCAGACCCGACTCACAGAGACCCCTCCTTGGGTTTCTGAGGCAGTAACACTACGGAAGTAGATTGCCCCTTCTTCCTTCTGAGGAGTGGCTGGTGGGTTTGAACCGCCAGGCTTCTGGTTAGCACTATGCTACCAGAACTCCCACCAGACACTAGGGAGTCAAATTAATACAGTAAGTAATGCTGTGGTGGGATTTCACCATTTCCTTGAGCACTAGCGTCTTCAGCTCCCTATTCCAGGACTGGAGTGAGTGATGAAAACCAAGAGGATAAAAGTGACAAAGGAAGGAAACCAGCCAATCAGAGGTAGTTAGCAGACGCGCTGCCATCCATGTTCCTTAGAGCAAGAGAGCCTTCACTATTCCACTTCTCACTAATGCTATCACGGCAGCTTGAAATGTAATATGAAGAGTTAGCCATTTCACATCGTATTTTGGAGAAGGCAATTTATAAATAATTGTTGTTGTTATGTGCCGTCGAGTCAGCCCAGACCCATAGCGACCCCTCCTTGGGTTTCTGAGGCAGTGTCACTACGGAAGTAGGATTGCCCAACCTTCCTTCCGAGGAGTGGCTGGTGGGTTTGAACCGCCAGCCTTCTGGTTAGCAGTCAAGTGCTTTAGCCACTATGCTACCAGAGCTCCTTTATAAATAATAAAGTAATAAAATATTTCTAAAGCTGCCAAAGTACTTCAGTACAAACAGGATTTTCTTTCTGCCTCTGATGGGTATACAGCATTTTGGCTGGTATTTATGAACTTTGTAGAATATAAGTTTAATCATAAACTAAACCATAAACCAATTTAATCATAAACTTAAAACTTAACCATTTTAGAGTAATTGAGGGAGTTAGTGAAACATGTTAATGACAGGTTGTCTTAAAATAAATTCTGGTTTTTTACTTGTAAGGAAATATAACAATGGAAATAAAGGAAGGGATCACGTAGATGATCTGTTGGATGAGATTTAATTCATGGCTTAGAAGTCTTTCTCATTAGTATTGTTATACAAATATATTAGAATGTCTTTAGACATAGCCTTCCAAAATTTCTATGTCATTCTCCAGTCTTTGTTCTGTGAATGTCTTCTCTGAAGACAGCCAATAGATAGAAGTTTTCTCCTTACTTATTAACAGTGAAACCATAAAGATATCATGAGTACTTCCCTTTTAAGGATTTTGTAAGATTTTAATTAGATGGTATAGTTGTTAAGGCATTTGGCTGCTAATCAAAAGGTTGGTGGTTTGAACCACCAGCCTCTCTGCAGAAAAAAGATCAGTCAGTCTGCTTCCGTAAAGATTTACAGCCTTGGAAACCCAGTGAGTGTTGCTGTGAGTTGGAATTGACTCGTAAAGATTTACAGCCTTGGAAACCCAGTGAGTGTTGCTGTGAGTTGGAATTGACTCGGCAGTGAGTTTGCTTTAGGAATATATAGAACACTCTTAACACTGCCTAATATATAGTAACCACTCAATCTATGGTGGTAGTGATAGTAGAGGTAGTAAGGAGAGTTGTTATTTTTATTATTATTGTTGTTGTTAATATTATATTTTATCTTTAAGATTATTTTATGGCTCTGACTTTTATTCCTGCCTTACCAGTCTTCTCCAGAATCTCAACAAAGGAAAATAAAAGATTAGAAGACTGTATCTTAAATGCCCTTAATCTGCCTGTGAAAGAGAGGCTCAAGTTTAATAGGTAGCAAGTGTAAATAAAAATATGCCCCCGGGCCAGTGTGCAGATCCCTTCTGAGAATGCAGTTTTGTAGATAAGCCATCTTTCATAAGTAATGAGCTTCATTTGAAAGGGAAGCTCATGCCCATTCTTGACATCGTATTTCCTCAAAGTCTGCGTCAGGATGGTGAAAATGAGATCACCAAAAGCTCTTGCCAACTTAAATATTTAAAAATCAGATGCTAATGGAAACCCATGATGAGGAAAGACCTCAGTATACAACATCCCATTTCCTTTCACCAGCCCCTGTGTCTATTTCTTGATTGCTTTAGATAATATTTGCAGCCTAAAGCACAAAATTCACTCACTCAGATTGGCATTAGATGGCCCTTTCTTAAGCAGACATAGGTTGCAGAACCTAAACCCTCCCTTTTGCTGTTGCTAATTCTGGCCCTTTCTCTGATAGCCTGATCTATCTTGTGTATTTGAATAGAATTATTTTTAAAATACCACAATTAAAAAATAAAATTGTTACTTAATTAAAAAAAAGTGTTGCACAATTTGTATACATGTTTTCAAATAGTCAAAGCAATTAATTATAAAACTAGCTTGCATTTAAGGTTAGCTTACCCCTACTAATGTTGCCATGGCAAATGAGTTTTTATTTCTACTGTTAATGAAGATGATTTTCATTTATTTTATATTGACTTTTAAGTTTTGTCCTGGGGAAAACACTCACGTAATTTGGTGTTCTTCCACAGGATTTCGCTGATTTCCCAATTTTCTTATTCTTACTGTGCTCAAAGCTTGTATCTACCATTTGCCACTTAAGTTTCTCCTTTAATTATTTCATAAGTTTCAGTCTTAACTTCCCAAATTCATTGTTAGCTCTGCGATGGCAAATGCTCTCTTATAGCCAAAGAACCAAACTCATTGACATTGAATCGATTCTGACTCATAGAAACTGACCCCCATTGGGTTTAGAGGCTGTAAATTTTTATGGAAGTAGATTGACACATCTTCCTTCCATGGAGCAGCTGGTGGGTTTGACCCGATGACCTCCTGGTTAGCAGCCAAATGCCTTATCCACTATGCCACCAGTGCTCCTTTCTCTTATAGCAGGGATATGATTTACAATGTGAGTCTCAGGTTGAGCCACACATAGAGTTGTTGTTGGTAGAGTGTTATAATCAACATTAGTAAACTTCATCTGCTCATTATTGTATTGAATGTCTTGATGCCACATCAAAATTAATAAAGATGCACATACACATCTATTTCTTCCCCAGGTTAATCAGCTCCGTGGCATACCCAAACTTCTGCAGCTCCTCAAAGTTCAGAATGAAGATGTTCAGCGAGCTGTGTGTGGGGCCTTGAGAAACTTGGTATTTGAAGACAATGACAACAAGTTGGAGGTTGCTGAACTAAACGGGGTACCTCGGCTGCTGCAGGTGCTGAAGCAAACCAGAGACTTGGAGACTAAAAAGCAAATAACAGGTAGCACTTACCGAACAACAGAGGGTATAGCACAGTGTACTCTAGCCGGATATATTATGTCATCTGTTTTTCTTAAGTTTCCTGGAACAAATAAATGATTGATGGGCTCATTGTTACCCAAGAGATGGTTTTAAAGGGACATTGTAACCTGCTGGCTTTGATACGGGACAAGTTTGAATTCCTTTTATCTGAAGAGGAAAAGATTCTAGCTCTTGCTTAGTATTTTAAATTAGTAACTCTATACTCCTTTGACTAAATGTCTTTAAAACAACTTCTTGACAAGACTCACTGTAAAAATTCTGCATAAATTTCTGAAAGGCAGCTTTGTAGTTTTGACAATGTCCAAAGCATCCTGAAGAAAACCAAGAACCACACCGTTATTCTTATTATCTACTCAGCAATCAGCTTGCTGTATCTAAACAGTGAAATGGAGAGTCAAATCATTTTCTAATGTAGAGGATTCATTAAATCAGAATGCCAAAAATTATCTTTCCCAATCTTTTCATTACTTAGACTCCTCCCAACAAAAGCTCCCTGGTTCACCTATTCCTACCTCCCCTCTCCAACCAAAAAACAAATTTGCAAGAAAAAGAACAGACTAGTTGTATATATTTTTCAATTCTCTGCTTCATATGTTTGTTCAAATAATCTTCCCAGTAGACTGGAAAAATGAAATCATCAGTTAGAAGTAACAGAACAATTCCAGTCATATGTCCTCAAAGCCTAATTTCATTAAACAAATAGTACATATGTTAGAGGAGAAAATGGTTCATTGATGTTGCACCATAAACCACTCTCCCTGCCATGACCATCAGCTCTCTGGTGATGCATCCTGTACACATCACAAAGGGGCCAAAAAAGATTACTAAGTGCCATCATCCATAGCATTGCTTGAGGAAATGGAAGGGAACACGTATTTATTAAAGTACATCTTCTATATATGAAGTATTATACATAGATTTTTAAATTTAATTATCATAAAAAACCATGAGTGTGAGGTATTATTAGTTATTTAATACAGGTATTAAAATAATAGTTTAACAGATGAGGAAACAGAGACTCAAAGAAGTTAAGCTTCTTTAAATATGCCATAAAAAACCCGAAACCCACTGCCATTGTGTTGATTCCAACTCATAGCAACCCCCAATGGGTTTTCAATGCTATAAATCTTTATAGAAGTAGAATGCCTCATCTTCCCCCTGTGGAGCAGCTGGTGGGTTTCAACCACCAGCCTTCTAGTTAGCAGCCAAATGCCTTACCTACTACACCAACAGAAGTCCTTTTAATATGCCACACAAGCTTTATTTTATTAAATAGATGACGGTGTTATGATAAATACTTACCATTTAAAAAGAAGGTACTCAATAAATATTCTTTTAAACTAATTTTAATATTGCTTTGTTGTTGTTGTTATATGCTGTCGAGTTGACCCGACTCATAACGACCCCTCCTTGGGTTTCCGAGGCAGTATCACTACGGAAGTAGATTGCCCCATCTTCCTTCCGAGGAGTGGCTGGTGGGTTTGAACCGCCAGCCTTCTGGTTAGCAGTCAAGTGCCTTAGGCACTACGCTACCAGAGCTCCCAATATTGCTTTGTTGTTGTTGTTGTTATGTGCCGTCAAGTCGGACCCGGCTCATAGCGACCCCTCCTTGGGTTTCCGAGGCAGTATCACTACAGAAGTAGGATTGCCCAACCTTCCTTCCGAGGAATATTGCTTTAGTAATTTAAATTAATTAAATGGAATATATTTTGCGCTGAGTCTAAAGTTTATGCCATCCTCACTTTGTTAGATGACAGCTTTCATTTTTTTCTATAAAGATTTTGCCATTTTATCATCTCTCTCACATTTATATTCTGTTCAAAAATCACATTTTTCCTAGGTTAATACATTTTAATTTTATAAAATTGTATGAAGGGTCATACCATGCCAGCCTTTGACAGTATGCAGATCATGCCCCATGAGGAGATATGTCCTTTCGTATCCATGACTTATATTTTAAAACCTGCAAATTAAGAGTGATCTTATCTAGTCATTACCAAACATTTACTAAACAGCTATCAGGTGCCAGGTACTGAGAATATAGTCCCTGCCCTTTAGAAAATTCCAGTCTGGGGAGGTTTGCTTTTTTTCCCCCTAAGATATGAAAGATTATGATTGGATATATATATATATTTGATTCTCACAAGAGAAAATCAAACAATTGGTGGTGCAGATCACCCTATTTTGCAGCCAGAAAAGACTTCATGAAGGAAGTATATTCATTCTGGACTTTAAAAGAGGAACAGACTTTTTGATGTTTTAAAGGAGAATCAGAGTTATTCCCAGCAAAGTGAACATCACTCACAAGATAAAGAGGTGGAGAGAAGCTGCTGATCATTTAGAGGAAGCTTTGATAATAGAGTGACTGAGTACTAAGATGCATGGTAATTAGAAAGCTTGGAAAGGTGTATGTGTTTCAAAGGAATAATTCACAGAATCACACTTCCTCTTTTTTTGCATAAGGTCAGAGAACATTCTGTAACACTGATGCCATAGAAACCATCCAAGGCATCTTTAAATAATATACAGAACTGATAAGTGGAAGTGGATTGTGCAGTAGTCAGGGTTTCTAGTGCAAGCCAAGCATCCCTATCAGTAGGGGTACATTACATGTTATGTGTACTGAATTGATCCTTGAACGTTTGATACAATCCTTCCAAATTACTCCTTTTAGCTCGTTTGATAGAAAAGCCAAAGAAGTGCTTCCTGGACCCCAGAAATAAATTGTTGGCCTAATATAGAAATATTTCTATCATTTTTTTTTTTCTAAAATACAAAACAAGTAATCACATTTGTAAATCTTTTTTATATTTCTTAGACATTTTTTTTGTGAGCCCCTATTTTGTGCTAGTCACAAAACTTTTAACTTTACATTTTCATCTCTATTCCTCCTAACAGCCTAGTAAGGCTGGGGATCATTATTGATGAACTACATATGACCAGTGTGAGGCCCAGAGATGTTAAGTAAATTGCCAAGGTTACACAGCTAATAAAGAACGAAGGCCAGATTTGAATCTAGTTTTGTCTGGATGTTTTGCTGTAGCGTACTGGCTCTCATCTCCTCCTTTGGGGGCAGATTATGACTCATTTTCACACTTCTTTGAGTAAGAGGTCCTTTTCATAAATCTCAGATCTGAAAGCTCTGCCTGCCTCCTCTTTGACTCTTCTTGTCGCTTCTGCCACTGCCTGATTCAAGCCCTCGTCATCTCTGTTCTTTATTCCTGAAGTACTTCTTAACTGGTCTCTGTGGTTCAGTATTGTCCATTCCCAATCTGC